TTGCGGTTTTCAACGGAAACTGTGCATATATGCATTATTTCGGTTTTCAACCGAAACTGTGCATATATGCATTATTTCGGTTTTTTCGTATGCATTATTTCGGGTTTTTCATATGCATTATTTCGTATGCACAGTTTCCATATGCACAATTTCAGGGTGCCAATTGAATTTACTTTCACAGTCTTTTTGCAGGTGAGAGTGTGGGAAGCAATTTGAGCGAAGTCTATTATTTTTAACGACACTATATCGTTCGGTTGTTGTAAGTTTCTTAAACTTCTCGCAAGATCTTAATGAGTGACCTCCTTTACAAAATTCGCATGACATACGTTTGTTTTGTTCTGAGATGAACGATTGAGTTCTGTTGAAACTTCGATTATGTAAATTATTGTCACTGGCTTGGGATCTATTATAGCTTTTATTGAGGTCGAGCTGTGTATTTTTCGGCTTTGCTATTTTTTAATCTACCCTTTCTGCGATTTCGAATTGGGTAGTGAGGAAGTCTTTCATTTGTTGCCACGTTAGGTATTTTTTTCGGGATGAGAGCGATTGCTCCCATAAGAGTAACGATTTTTCTGTTAAAGTTGCAGCGCATACAATTACCAGAATAGGGTCCCAACTATCAGTGGGAATGTTTTGTGTCGCGAGAACCGCCAAACAGTTTGATACAGTGGACTGTAAGTTCATGAATTCTTCACTTGTTTCTTTTTGAATTTTTGGCAAATTCATTAAAATCGTTATTTGATTGTCGACCAATACTCTTTCATTCTCATATCGTGATCTTAATGCTTCCCAAGCCAGGTTAAAATTATCGTCACTAAGAGCGAATTGTTTTACTATAGCGCATGCTTGACCTTTTGTTTTGTATCTGAGGTGATACAGTTTTTGCGCTTGAGATAACTTTGGATGGTTTATGTATACGGCTGTAAACATGTACCGGAAGGACGGCCATTGTTCATAACCTCCATGAAATACTTCTGTGTCACATTCTGACACTTTAAGATGTGTGCCTGAACTTGCTTCTTGGATTTGTATTTGGGGCAGCTCTACTCTTGGTGGTGGAGTAGGTGCATTTAATGGATTTATTAATTTTAGTTGATCGGGAATCATAGCCTTTGTTTCTTCGTTTTGGTCTCAGCAATTTTCATATTTGGCGTAAGCCGAGGCTTTAAAATTTTCAGGTAAATCTGAATCCTCAGTTTCAATTATGGCGTCATAAGCCGATTGGAGACGTGTCCAAAAATTACCAAGTCTTTGGGTTTTTACTTCCAGAACTGATTCTGAATTGTCTTGTGTAGGGGCTGCGGAAAACCTAGTGCAGTATCTTATTAGACTGTCACTTTTTGCGGCTGAAAAATCGTTGGTCTTTCTTTGCTTTGCACCCTGTTTTTTAGCGTGTAGCTTCTGCAGGGGTGTTTTGATGCTTATCTTCGTCAACCATTTTCGGTATATCTAGCAATTGAGGTGTTTTCGGTTCTTTGACGGGAGACTGGTTCGTTTGCATTTAAATGTGAACTCGAGAATTTATAAAATTGTTTTTTCCTATGTACTTATTTTAATACCCGCGAAAAATGGAATAATATAAGTGACCGTATAGTCGATCGGTTTTTGACCTACTTTTCTTTATAGTAACACAATGTATCCGCAATACTCTCTTTCGAGTTTTATTATTTACTTGCGTATGTAATATTTTTATTTTTTAATATAAATTTTAATAACTTTTGTTTTCGATTGGTATTTATTTTTTAATTAAAAATTGTATACGATATATAAATGTCTATTTGTTGCCGACCACCTTGTGCCGTTTAGCCGTTTCCTCGTGTGCGCGCGGTGACTGTTGATTTTGGAGATTGGTATTCGCGCAATCGGTAGGAGAGGCGGTTGGAAGGAAACATAGCTTGACGAGCGGTCGAGTTAGTATGCCGCCTTGTGTACGGAGATCAACAACGCGGATATGACCGTCGGAGCCATGATATAGTAACAATAAAAAAAATCATAAACTTTTCATTAAAATATAACTTTTTATTCAGAATTTCCAGATTTTTTTGGGTATGCAGTTTTATAGCCCATTCAATTTCGTTGTAAAAAAAAATATTGATTTTCAGAAATCAACGTTGTCCCCAAACTGTATACCCCGAAAAACGTAAAAAATTCTGAATGAAGTACGAAATATTGATGAAGAGTTTACGACTTTTTTTGATTGTTACAAAGTTATAAACTTTGAGTTATATAGATTTATTTATTTATTATATGTTTAAAAAAAATTAAAAAGTCCCTGAAACCAGTATGAAATGAACTTTTTTTAACAGATATTTTTGTTGTTCTTGCATCAAGAAATCTATTTTCATCGTCGCAAAAACCAAAAAATTATTTAAAATATTTTTTTTTTTAAATTCACCGCTCGATGTTCTTAAGCCAAAATAATTAAAATTCAAAGATCTTTCTTTGAATGCCGGTCTTGAGGTCAAGGTAGTTTGGCATTTAATCCGACCTTTAAAATTACTTTACCCAGTAACATTTTTGATTTCGTTGCCTTTTTTACCTAAAACCAGCTTGTAATAAACTTTTTAAATGATCAAAAATTTCGGTAGTTCAACACTGATGACGACACCATCTGTGTGGATTCCAAAGTTAAATTTTGGCTAGAGAAATCAATAACATCAAGTACAACTCCAGATTCATTTGGAAAATCCGATCAATCTAAAAGCCTACTGGTAAATATCTTCCGTTCTTTTAAGTATTGATCCTTATTATTCAACAAGCCTTATCCTTATTATGAGAGCAACTCATCGCGTTGATAGTGGAAGAAGCAAACTGCAATGAAGTTCGGATAAGAACTTCAGACTACCCGTCAATTATCAATCAAATTGTTTAAATTTTCCCTTCAGAATGTGAAGCGAAAGTAAAGGCCAAAGGACATTTAGCGAAAAAAAAACTTTCTCACTTCTTGGTTTTGAAACGATTTATCTTTTTAGGAATTTTACTTTATTCCCCGGAATGGTAGGAAAAACCCTGGTGCAAAACTGTATGCGAAATATACTAATAGAAGGGCAAAACGCTTAAAATTTGAAAAGACACCAGCATCGCCTAAACCGGTTGATGATAGTTTAACTTTTGAAGCCGAGTTCGACGAAATCATTTCGGTTGCATTGAAGGCTGAATTAAAAAGAGACTATTCAGATTGGAACGCGGTTATTGATAAATGGCATAAGACTCATAATTTGCGTCGCAGAGACTTAATGACTTATGATGCAGTAAGATTTCTCAAGAAATGGCCAAATATTGCGACAGCAGGGCTATTGATTTGGTAAGATATGTACAAGTAATTAGTGTAATGTAATTTGAAAGCAATTTCCGTTATCCCATGTCCAATTTGGTTTTTTGGGGACGAACCGGTTTTGGCATTCTGCCATCCAAAGTATAATTTTTCGTTTTCAAAATACATCGTCTTACCCTGTCGGTTAGTGCTGTTTTCTACACGAGTTGTTTTTTGTTGGTTCATACAAAAAAAAATTTAATTATTGTGTTTATTCAAACTTTTGTTTTATATTGTTAGTTTAAAATTGATATCAACATTCTCTATCCGGGCAAGGAGCTTATGCTTCCCAGCAAATGGGAAGCTTTTAAAACGAAAATTGAGGTATACTACCGAGAAAATCTGCACAGCAAAAAGTTATTAGCTGATTTGCATCTGGCTGAAAATTGCGGTATGTAATGAAATACGAATTTTTTAAGTATTTAGTGATTTAATTTTTTTTCTTAATCGTATATTACATATTCATCAGACTATATTCTAACAACCTTATTGCCATTTATTTTACCTCCTACTTCCTGGTATAAGTCCACGTTGGATGTGGCGAAAAAGAAAATCACTTTATTGGACGCACAAGAAAGTTTTGTTTTTCGTTTATATTCAATTAACGATTATGAACGTAAAATTAGTGAAATTGTTGCCAAAATTTTTTCCAAATAACTTTGCAATTCAACCCTTCGTTATTATAGAAGGTGTGAATGCATTCGATATAACATCTTTTTTTGTCTAAATTCTTTCACAAATTGCTTGGATACCTGCTTTAAAATATTTAATACGCTGAATTTATCCAATCGCTGCACAACTGCCGTGGTTGTTTGTACGAAATTGACACTTATTATGGTATAAAATCATCAAACTTAACAGCCTAACTGCATTTCAAGCGAAATTAGCAACAAATGTCTCAGTATTGAATTAAAATTATTTTCCGTGTAGCCTTTCGACAATTTTGCTAACGCTTTGTACTTGTCAAAGTAATTTATTCGAAAATTTTGATTCTTAAAATGTATCCATGTTTTAAATGTAAGAAAGAATTGTAAACCATAGATTTATTTCATGGGAAATTAGCAACAAATGCCAACTGTTTTTTGAATAAAACACATATGGCGAAGTTTTGAATTAAAAATAATTTTACGTGTACCTTTTCACAATTTTGCTAACGCTTTGTACTTAACTCAGAAATTTATAAAAAAAAAATTGATTTTAAAAATGTAGCCATGTGTTAAATGCAAGAAAGAATTGTATACTGTAGATTTATTAATTAAGCACTTGAAATATGACCATTTAGTCTCGAGAAATTGTTCATTACAATGCAAAGTGAATAACTGTAACAAATTATTTTCGAAGTACAACACATTCAAAGTACATTTATGCAAAGCTCACGCAAATGTGACAGCTGAAGCTTGTGCAAAAACAGTAGATGCCCTAAGACCGGTAATATCAAATAATATTTCATGTGCAAATGCGACACAGGCATTATTTTTAGAAAACGTATTTGATGAGTTTTAGAAGACCTGCTATTAGACAACCTGAAGGTTTTAACAGATATGAGTGCATTGAAAGTCTTAAAAAACAGGCTATTTTGTTAACACTTCAGCTGCATGCACAGTCGTTTATGCCTAGAAATCAAGTTAATGTTATTCAGGATATGGTTTAAAATTTGCTTTTCTCTATCTCAAATGTGCTTCAACTGGTTTTCGGTTCAGTGAGTCCAGAAATAGAAAAAGATTTAAAATGTACTTATTCATTTTGCGCTGAGCCGTTTAAACAAATAAAATCTAAGTACCGCTTTCTAAAAGTTTTGAATGACATGAATTTATATCAAGATCCAAAATCTTTTGTTGTATCAAACGAACTTTCATCAAAGATTGTAAAAGGCAATTCATTTTTCTTTCCGAAAAAATTTTTTATTTATGTTAATGACATCCAATTTCAAATCAAATCTTTTTTTGAGTTGCCTGACGTTCTCAATTTAACGATTGAAAATCAAAGAGAACTTCAGGGTAACGACTCTTTTGCAAATTTTATAAATTCTGATATATTCGCCAAAACACTAAAAAAAACTTTTTATCTGAGGATATTGTAATACCCTTTTTTGTATTTGGATGAAATTCAGATAAATAATGCATTAGGAACACATGTCGAATCTATTTGTGCCTTTTATTATTCATTTCTGACAATTCCTCACTACTTACTATCAAAACTAGATTTTATTTTTCCGTTTAGATTTATTTCCTCACATGTTATCAAGTCTTATGATCACGAATCTGTATTTTACCACTTATTGCAAGAACTAAAAGGCTTAGAAAATGGAATCGAAATTCGTACTCCCAAAGGAAGCAAAACAATTTTTTTCGTTTTAGGACTTGTTTTGGGAGATAATTTAGGCTTAAATTCGTTTTTGGGTTTTGTACAATCATTTAGATCTAAGCGGTATTGCAGAGTTTGTAAAAGAAGTAACCATGAAATGAAGAAAGATTGCACTGAAAAAAAAGTTGCATAGGAAATAGAATATCAAATGAAATTGATTTGCAAGCTCAAACTTTTATAGAAACTGGCATCAAAACTGAATGCATATTAAACGAATTGAACAATTTTCATGTTACTGAAAACTTTTACTTCGATTTGATGCATGACTTTTTAGAAGGCGTATGTGTTTATGACATACTAGCAGAGCACCCGACGTCGTTCGGGGTAAACAAATAAACATATAAAACAGTAATACAAATACTCAGTCCAGCATAATTTAAAGGACACAAACTAGTTTCTTTGTTTACATTAAAGCATTCTTATGAGCCATACTTTTAGCTTTATCGTGCTTTAACTAATATATATTGATCATAATTTGTACTACAAATTTTGTTCCATTATTAATATTAGGTGGATTAGGGTAACGATCAAATTTCTAAATTAAAATTAGTGTACTACGGTGCATTCCGTTTAGCTGCCTATACGCTTGGCTGTTTTAGTATAGCTGCATATTTCTTGTAGAATGCTTAATTCGGAAGCAGTTTTATTCATTATGTATGAACCTTTTTCATTTACCAGCATCGCGGGATTAAAAAACGATTTAATCTTTCCATTTCAAAATAATCTAAAGACGGTAAGGTTTAAAAAAAAACACAGTTTTAAATATCCCAGTTATCTAATAGATGAGTACATATACTTTGACAAACCCATTTATATATACTTTACTCGGAACACCTCCCATAGATACCTATGTCTGAATACCAAATTTAAAGTTCATGTGACTTATGGTTCCGAAGTTATAGCTGATAAAGGATTCCACGCCTATAGGACGTGCCATGCCCCTTTTACAAACTCATTTATTTATACCCTCATATAAGCACCTACTATTGATATGTCTTCATACCAAATTTCAAGTTCATGGGACTTATTGTTCCGAAGTTATGGCTGATGAAAAATTCCACGCCTATGGGATGTGCCACGCCCCTTTTTACAAACTCGTTTATATATATCCTGGTATAAGCACCTACCATTGATAAGTCTGCATACCAAATTTCAAGATCGTGGGACTTATGGTTCCGAAGTTATGGCTGATAAAAAATTCCAAGCCAATGGGATGGGCCACGCCCACTTTTCAAACTCGCTTTTACGTATCCTTCTATACGCACCTACCATTGGTATGTCTGCATACCAAATTTCAAGTTCGTGGGATTTAAGGTTCCGAAGTTATAGCTAAAAATTCCACGCCTATGGGATGTGCGACGCGCCCTTTTACGAACTCGTTTATACATACCCTCCTAAAAGCACCTACCATTGAAACGTCTGCATACCAAATTTTGAGTTCGTGTGCCTTATGGTTCCGAAGCTATAGCTGTTAAAATATACCACGCCTATGGGATGTACCACGCCCCCTTTTACAAACTCCCTTATATATACCCTCCTATAAGCACCTACCATTGATATGTCTGCATACCAAATTTCAAGTTCGTGAGACTTATGGTTCCGAAGTTATAGCTGATAAAAAACTCGTTTATATGTACCCTCCTTTAAGCACCTACTATTGATATGTCTGCATACCTAATTTCAAGTTCGTCAGACTTATGGTTCCGAATCTATAGCTGATAAAAAATTCCGCGCCAATGGGATGTGACACGCCCCCTTTTACAAATACACTTATATATACCCTCGTATAAGCACCTACCATTGATATGTCTGCATACCGAATTTCATGTTCGTGTGACTTATGGTTCCGAAGTTATAGCTAATAAAAAATACCGCGCCTATGGGATGTGCCACGCCCCCTTTTACAAACTCGTTTATACATTCCCTCCTATAAGCACCTACCATTGATATGTCTCCATACCGAATTTCAAGTTCGTGTGACTTATGGTTCCGAAGTTATAGCTGATAAAAATTCCACGCCTATGGGATGTGCCTTGCCCCCATTTACAATCTCGTTTATACATTCTCTCCTATAAGCACCTACCACTGATATGTCTGCATACCAAATTTCAAGTTCGTGTGACTTATGGTTCCGAAGTTATAGTTGATACAAAATTCCGCGCCTATGGGATGTGCCACGCCCCCTTTTACAAACACGCTTATACAATCCCTCCTATAAGTACCTACCATTGATATGTCTGCACATCAAATTTCAAGTTCGTGTGACTTATGGTTCCGAAGTTATAGTTGATAAAAAATTCCGCGCCAATGGGATGTGCCACGCCCCCTTTTACAAATATGTTTATATATACCCTCGTATAAACACCTACCATTGATATGTCTGCATACCGAATTTCAAGTTCGTGTGACTTATGGTCTGGAAGTTATGGCTTATTAAAAATCCCAAGTTTTTTCATCCTATTATAGGCCCAGGTATCATGGCAATACTCTGTCAAAATTTTGATCGATTCTGTCCGTCCGTTTAGACTGCAACCTGGCACATACATACTTTCACAAATATATAGTAGATGTAAGGTTCTGTTGGCTTTAATTGACAACAAATTTTTAAGCTTACAAACAATTAACAGTAGAAAGCAACTTTTTTGGTTTGGCGAAATGGAAGTAGGCAATTTTTCGGTGCCAATTGAGATGTACAGACTCAAGAGTAGCAAACTAAAAATGACCAGAAAACAATGCACACTTTAAATTATTTACAAAACTATTAGAAATCATTGATACCCTATTTCAAAGTGAATTCACTGCTCAAGACATAAAATCTTTAGAAACAAAAATAAAAGTGCACCACAAATTATATTTAAAATTATTTGAAACCAAAGCATCATTTAAAAATTGCCAAAAATTAACGGGATTTTATAGCAGCTTGAAACTTACACTTCATTATACTAGAATGAAATGGTCTACAAAACTGCATACCAAAATTCTGATTAAAAAGTTTGAAATTTTGGTGAAAATAAGCAGAATTTTTCTAATTTTTGTACAAAGTTTGAAATTTGAATTTATATGGTGTTTATTGTATACCAGCTAGACTTTTTTAAAAAAGAAGTAAGAAAGTCTAAGTTCGGGCAGAGCCGAACATTAAATACCCGGCGCAAGTATTAAATATATGTTTTCCACCTTTCCGAAAGCTACTGCTACATGATAAGCCGGCATGTATACATTTTAAGTAAATTAGCGTCCTTAAATTTCGAAATATTGAAATTTCAAGCATTTCTGAAATTTACCGTTATACGCCCATTTTCCAAAATTTTATCATAAACGTATTTATTGGTAAAGAATTGTTGCAACCATCAATTTTGAATAAAT